TTTAAAAAAAATTATCTTCATGTCTATTAATTAAAAAATAAAATTTAGGGGATCCCTGGGTGGCGCAACAGTTCGGAGCCTGCCTTTGGCCCAGGGCACGATCCTGGAGGCCCGGGATCGAATCCCACATCGGGCTCCCGGTGCATGGAGCCTGCTTCTCCCTCTGCCTGTGTCTCTGCCCCCCCCCCCCCCGTGACTATCATAAATAAATAAATTAAAAAAAATAAAATTTAGTCAGTAAGATTACAAACCCTATAACCCAAAGGTGATTATCTCAAAAGATAAATTATCCCTGAGGTTTTAAAAATACTGATAAACCATTGTAAGAAGTAGAAGTAATGAACTCTGCAAAAATGTAGACCATAAGCATCAGATAAGCAAATGATTCCACCCTGTGATTCTTTATAGGTGTTTGTCTCTCTCCAGATTGCCCCGAGACTGCAGTTCAATGATAATTTCAAGAAAAGCTATGAACTTGCAGTCTGTTTTCTTGTTATAATGGCTAGAGAAGCTTCACTACCAAATCTCTGCTGTGGTAGGTTTTATGGGAAATAAAGAGATAACACATGATCCTGACAAAGATGTACGTGTTAAGAGGGGAAATAAGATAGAGACAAGATATTAATAGCACCAATTTGGACCTATGAATTTCTTAAAGAGACAACTAGAAAGCTTTAAGAAAGAGATCATGCTGAACTGGTGCTCAAAACTAATAAAATGGAAAAAGCATCATGAAGGGGAAGGCAATGGAATGAAGTAAGTCTGAGTTGAGAGGATTTAAAAAAATTAGCTTAGCTGGAGTGTAGGGTCAAAGAAAGAATGGAGTGGAAATAAAACTGAAGAAGAGGCCTGGGGTTTATTACGAAGAACTTTAAACATTAGATTATATAGTTTGCATTCTTGGTGTTTATCACTATACACCAAACCATCCCAGGGAAACCCTTTTATAGTATGCAGAAGATCGATTTTTAGAAACTAATAAGCAAGAAGAGGAAAAGAGGGGGTGTTTCCCATCTATTCAAACACTGTGAAATGTCCTACTTCCAGCCAAATATGTGAGCTCTGAAATGGAAGCCTTAATCTGGCCAGATTCTGACTGCTACCAAGTATGTATTTTGACTCCTTCCCTCCCTTCCCAGGAGACCCTCTTGGCTGAAGCTCACATGCCTTGCATATGTCCAGTAAATATGCTAATAAGACAATAATATTTTATGCAGAAGCTATTGCTGATACTTGTTCTTCTCCATGTGATTGTGCATAACTCTCTGAATAAAGTAGAGTAGTGTTGTTCCAGGACTCATTCAAGCATATAATAGAGTTCCAGGGAATTACAGCAGGCTCCTGTTTAAAGAACTACTTGGTGAGTTGTTGTCTTCAAAGAGTTGGGCTAATCTGTTCCCCCACTTTGTAGATGGATTTATGCAGCCTGGGATGTATGGAGTTGGATTTAAGTTTTCCATGAGATGTCAGCAGGCTGTGTAAGTTCCTACACCCCACAGCATTGTCCAAAGGTGATTCAAGGGGAAACTGAGCCCCCATGAGCCTGCTGAAGAACAAGACATTCTTCCCTAGAGAATCACTGGGATCATGACTTCGCAAATGAGATGCTCATCTCTTCCATCTGCCTTTGTATTAAGGTTTTACCATCTCCTAAATCCTCTCTTACATAAAAATGTCTGGAGTGGTAACATTTCACCAATAAAAGCTCTCCTTTATGGGGGCTTAATTTATTATAATGGTCCAGAAGCTTATCTTCTTCAATTAACCTGAGGACTGATGATAACTCCCATTAATACAGGTAGCTCAATAACATCATGGCGATAATGAAATAGGAGGAGGAATGAGGACAGAGTGGGGGTGAATTTTTAAAAATTGTACCTAATATGTTGATGGTTTATTATGTGTTACGTCCTGTTCCTAATTAATTTTAAATATTGTCATCAAAGCCTCTCAATAACTTTATATGTTAAGGAATGTTGCTATTAGCACTTTAGGGAGCATTGAGGATTGAAAAATTAAATTCTTTTCTTAAAATCACATACTACGGAGTGACAAAATGAAGGTACACCTCTACCTCTACTTGTCTGGTTCCACAATCCATAGTTTTTTCCCCTGTGTTATTCTGCCTCCCTTGGAAAAAGAAACATGCTGTGATGAAGCTTCTCAGGCTAATAATACATCAAAATGAGATTAAGAATCATTAGTTATGAGAATACTTCACTCACTGTAGACAAGAAGAAAAATGCAATGGTTCTCAGAACTGAGTGCATGAAGAGGGACTAGAATATTTAAAAAAATGAAAACAAATACAAAAACCTGTATTGTCCGCTTCCCAACCTGGCTGAAGATCAGTAGCCATTTTTTTCCTTCTGTGTGCTAAGCATACATTATTTTTTCATTTTATTTTGAGAAAGAGTGAAATGTTAAGGAGTGCTAGTGTAAACAAAACGGAGTGAAGAGAAGACCAAGAACACACCTTCGTCTTAACTTGTTTGACTAGATTTCCTTCTCAAGGTACAACTTTTGCTGAGATTTCATACATGGTTCCAGATAAAATAAATTTTTTATTTTATGGATCATGTAGTATGGAGAAGACAGTGAAATTAAGACAACACTCTTCACATACATTAAATTTAAAAAGGGAATTTAGTCAGCAAGATCACAAATCTTATGATTCCAGGGTGGTTGCCTCAAAAGAGAAATTACCCTTGAAATTTGAGAAGTCATTACTGACTATCATAAGAAGGGATACTAAACTGGAAAAATGATGTACTTTCTAAACAGAAAGAAAATAGTTATCTATCCATTTTATTGGCCAAAATCATTTGACTGTTTGGCTCTTCAGATAATAACCAAATATTTTGTGCCAATGACTTCACATTTCTGGATTAACAAAACTGAAATAGTGTTCAAGGGCAAGAAAAAAAAAGTAGCTTTTGAAGGAATACCACATTTGTTATCACTATCATCAATGAAAGGTAAATTTTTCTAAGCTATAATCTACTATCCATTTTAAAAACAGAACATCTAAATTTCCTCAGATTTTTTCTGTAGTTAAGTATTTCATCATCATCAAGTCTCATTTGTTTGCAGGTAAGAAATACAAGCCACATTCTGTTAAAGAAGAGAAAGAGAGATGGAGGGAGGGAGGGAGGAAGGGAGGGAGACATGATGACAAAGAAGGAGGAACAAGAGGAGAGAGAGATGGGAGAGGAGGAGGAGAGGAGTGGGGAGGGAGGAAAAGAGATAGAATAGAAAGAAATTATTTTTAATGTAATTAAACAAACAATATTGTTGATTGTTGGAGTGTTTGAGTACAAGTGAGGCTATACTCAGGTACTCACCCAAGTCCTTAGAAACTCTCAATCCTCCTTGTCTCTTTCCTCTGCCTTTTTGGAAATCCTTCTCACCATTCCTCTACCTCCCTACCCTTTTGCCCTGCTTACTGTTCTTGTACTTGATTTATTGTCCTGTTCTCTACACATAGTAGAAAATTTCTCAGAATGTCCAGGATCATATGGTTCTCCACAGCTTTTGGACCTCAGAAAGAGAATGTTTTTTCTGAAGATTTTTATTTATTCATTCATGAGAGACACACACAGAGAGAAGAAACATAAGCAGAGGAAGAAGCAGACTCCCTATGGGGAGCCCGATGTGGGACTGGACCCCAGGACTCCTGGATTACACCCTGAGCTAAAGGCAGACACTCAACCATTGAGCCGCCTATTCAATTTTGGAAAAATGGATGCTTATTATTCCTTCTTGAAAAGGAGACCATGCTGTGTTCAGTCAAGACAGAGTCTCTGAAGATTTGTCCTTGATCATATGACCAAGTTGGATAGTAGAACCTTCAGAGAAGCACATCTAGAATCATCTGAGAGAACAGACCCCAAGGAAGGAGAAAACAATCTCAGTCACCTATTAATCTACTATAATTAAGTGAGGCAGTCTCTTCTAATCCATTTATTTCTTTTTTGGTTGCTAGACCAGTTTAAAGATGTTGTATAAATGCTTAGATTTAGTTTATAATTCCATAAACTGGTTATTGTGAATTTATTAACTACCAGGAATTATAATAGATGCAGGAATACATACATTTGGAATAATCAGCCGTGCCCTCAAGAAGCTCATATTCTCTATAAATAGATCAACAACAATTATGTTGTACACCTTTGTCTAATACAATGTTATATGTCAATTATATACCAATAAAACGGGGGAAAATTTATTTTTTAATTATTTTCTTAAGACTTCGTTTATTTATTCATGAGAGACACACAGAGAGAGGCAGAGACATAGGCAGAGGGAGAAGCAGGCTCCCCACAGGGAGCCCAATGTGGGACTCAATCCCAGGATCCTGGGATCACGGACTGAGACAAAGGCAGACACTCAACCACTAAGCCACCCAGGTGTTCCTGGAAAAAAAATGTTGAAAGAGACTCAGATTCTCTAAGAGAAGACAAATATTATGAATATTGTATGCCCTATAGTGTCATCATGTTGATGACAGTTTGGTGATAACAGAAAATACCACCATGTGAAATGAACAAGCAATTATAAGGTTCTTCCATATGAATATGTGGAGATGCACAGTTTCCCACATTTTGATATAATAAATCAAAATAATACTGTAAGCAGTGTGAAATAAAGGATATTTGTTTAAAAAATTATTATGGGAGTATAGTACAGTTAGCAAATTATTCTTCTGGTGTAATCCAGAAAAGCTGTACAGTGAAGAGACAGTGGCCCTGCACAGGCAATTTTGGGAAATTAGAGGAAGTATATCATCAATCACCAGAAAGCTTTATACAGGTATAGTTTTTGAAATGCTTTAGAAATAACAAAATTCTAATAATATTCTATATTTTGCTCTTTTATACATACTCACTTTTTATAATTTTGTATACGTACTCACTTTTATACATTTTGTCAGATTGCTTTTTTAATTTCATAGGATTAAACATTTCAGGCTGGGTGCGGGGTCGGGCAGAGGGCAAAGGTCAGTCCCTGGGGGTGAAGAGCGCCTCCTTTGGGCCATGGCGGCGGCTGGGGATCCCGGCCAGCAGTGGGCGGAGGAGGTGGCGGCGGTGGTAGTGGTGGGCTCCTGCATGACCGACCTGGTCAGGTTGGCAAAGATTCTTTTGGCAGTGACTATATAGAAAACTTAAAACAGAACGATATTTCTACAGAATTTACATATCAGACTCAAGATGCTGCTACAGGAACTGCTTCTATAATTGTCAATAACGAAGGCCAGAATATCATCATTATAGTGGCTGGAGCAAATTTACTTTTGAATACTGAAGACCTGAAGAAAGCAGCTACGACCATTAACAAAGCCAAAGTCATGATCTGCCAGTTAGAAATAACTCCAGAAACATCTTTGGAAGCCCTGACAATGGCCCACAGCAATGGAGTGAAAACATTGTTCAATCCAGCTCCTGCTATTGCTGACCTGGACCCTCGCTTCTACACGCTTTCAGATGTGTTCTGCTGCAATGAAACTGAGGCTGAGATCCTAACTGGCCTGGCAGTCGGCAGCCCTGCAGATGCTGGGAAGGCTGCGCTGGTGCTCATGGAGAGGGGCTGCCACGTGGTCATCGTCACCTTAGGTGCTGAAGGATGTGTGATGCTGTCACAGACAGAACCTGTCCCAAAGCACATTCCCATTGAGAAAGTTAAGCCTGTGGATACCACGGGTGCTGGTGACAGTTTCGTGGGGGCTTTGGCCTTCTACCTGGCTTACTACCCACATCTGTCCTTGGAAGAAATGCTCAAGAGATCCAATTTCATCGCTGCAGTCAGCGTCCAGGCTGCAGGAACACAGTCATCTTATCCATACAAAAAAGACCTGCCACTTGATCTGTTTTGATTACTACTAACCCTAAAATAAACGTACCTGGAAATAAAATGTACTTGGGGGAGGGAGGTGGCTCCTCTTAGCCAGCAGCTTACTATAAAATACCCTCTTCTCCTTTATTTGCAAATATGTTCATTTATGAAGTCATCCTCCAGCTTTCATTTATTCTTTTATAATGATGATTTCTTTGCTCTTTATGTATTTGCAAGAGCCAACCAAAATTAAGATCCCATGCCCGGGAACTATACAAACATTAGCACCAGCAGGAACCAGCAAACTCACTAGCCAACAGATTATGAACACTGTGTGTCCACCATAGATCAAGGGTTGTGGATAACAATATCTAGAGTCGGGAGCAGAGAATGTTAAATAAAGGGGGCACATGGACTGTTCAAGCAGTCCCTAAGAGGGACAGCTGATATTCAGCCTTAGTGTTGCCAAAGCTTGTTTTGCCAGGGAAGCCAGAAGCTTGGATGTTCATTGAAATTTTATCAATGTTTAAATATCAGCAATTGATTTTTTTAAAAACGTAAACACCACCTGTGGGCCACATTAAGCTCATGTGCTGAAGGGACGAATCATTTGTTAAGCCAGATTTTAAGCTGTTGTTTTGCTTTGTTTTTAATGGTGATTCCTGTGTGTCACAGACCCTTTGTGTCAGGCTTACCCAGGATCTGGTGAACAATTTTTCTTGTAACCCAGTATCATATATATAGTTTCAACCAAAAAAAAAAAAAATAAAAAATAAAAAAAAAAATAAAAAATAAAAAAAATAAACATTTCATAACATCAAAATTGTTTTACATTATTTACATATTTTGAATATTTACATTATTTAAAAAAAAATCTTACATTGTCTTGCTACTTTATTAAACAGGATACAAAGCAAAATTTCAGCCTGACTTTCCTTAAGGTTCACATCTACTATTGTTATGACATTGACTTTGATATGGTAGGAATGCAGACAAAAGGGTTAGGAAACATGATTAAATTAATCAGCTTGTCAAGAAATGGTGCTGATAATGGTCTAGATCCAACCTCCTTGATCTAGAATTCCTATATTTAAAAAGAATCTGAAACCAATGATTTTTTTTACTTTATTGCTTTTATAATTTATTTGTCAATAAGGACTAATCTAATCTGGTAAGAGACCATGATCTTTATTTATATCAAATTATGCATATTTCTATCTTCTGCTGCAGAAATATTAAAGTTCATTATGGATTGTGGTCTGAGACTCCCACTGGTGATTTACATTCTGTATTAATTTTCTAAAATCTAAAATTTGAATTCTGAAAAAAGTAAATAAATCTTAAAACAGAAGGTTGGTGTAAATGTTGGGGGTAAGTTTGCCTAGGTGTTTGTTTCAGCCATGCATGTCTTTCTTGTGATGTCATCTATGTCTTTCAGTTTATGTAACAGCCAAAATTGAGATATAATGATAGGTAATTAAAGCATTTAAGTTTTAATTCCTGGAGATTTCTTTTTCCTCATGTATTTACTGTCTCTGTATTTGATCAGGTCTATATTGCTCAGCAAAATGTCCTTTGCTTGTTTTACTTATAATTATTTTAGCTTACTGTGATTACTATCTTGTTGAGGGTAAAGAAGGGAAATTAGTTATCAACTAGGATGAGAATGAAGGTGACTTCTACAGAGGGATGTGATGATCTACAGATCTCTAATTCATTATACCACTTCCATTGTTGCCCTTTTTGGAATTTCTGCCGTCTCTTTCTCAGAGCAGTTGCTTGGCAAAAATTTGAACAGATGCTATACAGCATTAGCTTTCTAATAAAAGGACATGGGCCCATGGGATTTGCTTGGTACCAACTTCTAATACTTCCCTATTGTTCAATCACATTTTACTATTGTCCCTGCTTTCTAAATATTTTTAAGCTTACGAAGTAAAAATGCCATAGGGTCCATAACGGGGATCCCCAAAGTGCATAAGAGACAGGTTGATAGATGCAGTCTTGTGTCTGAATCTGATAATTATTTTGATAGAAATCTGGTAAAATCCACATTTCCAACTGTCAGACGTATTGGTGGCCACAAATTAACTTAGCACAGTGATCCACTCAACTTTTTCTGGATCACTGATTTGCCTGGTAGAAGGAAGAAATACTAAAATATTTGTCAGGATCTGCGTTCAGACACCATATGAATCTCTTTTACCCTGGTCTCCTGAAAACAGAAGTATCAATGCTTCATTGTTCTTGATTTTGCTGAACTAATATTCAAAGCAGAGTTTAATTTGTAATGATGGTGAGCTTGGAATATGATGGGAGCAGAATGAGACCTACTAACTTGGATGTTCAGAATCAAGTTCTGAAAGACAGGGAAGATTATATGAAATTTCCTAACTAAATCATCCACTTTATAGTGAATATATTTCTCTTGGATCCACAAGACACTTTTAATTATTTCTGGGAATATTTTGTCCTAATAATTAAGAACATTTCCCTATACTCAGGGCCAACTATATAACCTATCAGTCCAAAATGAGAATGCAGATCTCATTTTAGAAGCACATAAGCATGCCATTAAATGCACAAAAATATAAAGCCTTTTCCCTTTCCTTTGTAGTCTTCTTATCACATCAGATATTTGATATTTTAGTGTCTTTCTACATATAGAAAAAGTAAAATTTTAAATTATTAGCATGACTTTTACCATTTGTCCTTATATAAGACAATGCTAGTTATATTTATTTTTTATTTTTTTATTTTTTACAATGATAGTTTTAAATGAAAATATAGGAGCATCTAAGTCATAGGTGGAATCATCAAAATTCTACAGTTTCTATTTTCTAGCTCATATAATCTGTCTTATCCAAGAGAATAATAAATAAAAAGACCTACTTGTAAAATACATGGTGCCTAAACAGATGTTGCCTAAGTGAGAAGCTTAAAAAAACTATCACAGAAGGATATCAGACGGTTACTAAGTCATAAAGTCAAACTCAGATAATGTTTAAATTTTTTTCTCTCCTCTATATTAAATTCTTAATTCTTGAAAAAATAAAAAATATGGACCATAAATCCTGACACAAAGCTCCTCCTACCCTATATACAAATTATATTTTACTTAAGGAAGTTTCACCCATTCAGTGAGGATCATGGCAGGGAAGATGTTTAGAGCTGTGAATGTCTAGCCAGATTGTACCTGCTTATTTGGGGCACCTCTGATTCATGATCCTGAAGACAAATAGTAATCCAGAAATGGATTTGTACCTTTTACACCTCATTAGCTTACATTCTCCCTGCCTGCCAGACAGGGCAAAGATTTATGACTCAGGAATTCTTTGCCTCACTGCTTCTCTTTCCCACCTGGGGATTGCATATTTATTTTCACCTTCCACCTTTGACCATTGAATTTGACTCAGTGAAGCATGTGTGACAATGAATCTTAGTACTACACTTGTCTAGTCCTTCAGCCTCATACGATCTTTAAGAGGGCAAAGTGGTGATAGAAAAATCAAATGGCATAACACAACCAGTTCAATAAATTTGGGAATTTTCTGTTGTTGGAGATATATCAGTGTATTTTGGAGAATTTATCTTGCCTGTGAGATCAAAGCTAGTGAAATGCAGGTGCCTAGATGGATAATGGGTTAGGTCTTAAATTTCAAACATTCAGACAATTTTCGTATATTTCACTTCGGGAGAAGTCAGTTTTCTTAGCTTACTGAAAATGACAAACTACTGTATTCTAAATAGCTTTACTTTTTCCATTTTTAAATGAAACCTGAGGTCGGGGAATTTCTATCAAAATTTTTATATGAAATATTTATTAGATGCACTTAAATTCTTTGTTGCATTTGCAGTGGCTGAATAGTCAAAGGAGCTTGACCCTGTTTATTGCCAAACACATTTATTTATTTATTTTTTTTTTAGCTACAGCTTAATGGCTAAAGAGTAGGATGTGAAGTTAGAGACAACTCTTAAGACCCAGAGAATCATACTGCATCAAGTCTTTCAGAGTTTCAGTGGCCTTGTCTGTAAAACATTCATAATAATTCAGATCTCAATTGTGAGCATTGAAGAGAGATTGTGGGATGTCGAGCATTGAAAGAGGCAGAGGCTCTAGCATATGCAGGGTGTAGATAACATGTTGTGAATTAATAGGTATAATAGAGTGTGAATTAATAGGCATGAATCAATAGGTGTTTATTAAGTACCTACTAATTGTGAGCCCTTTGAAGGTGTGGAAGATGTGGAGAATCTGCCCTCAAGGGGGAAAATGAGGCCAAAGATGAAACAATAGTAAGAGAGAGAGAATCCTTACATTTCTGTGCCCAGCACTCAGCTGTCCTCACCGACTAAACATGATATGTACAGAAACACATTTGATCTTCACAGCCATCTGATAAGTTTGTTTCAGTGTGTATCGCTTCCATTTTAAAAGGAAACTAAAGTACAGAGAAATTTAGTAAATTCCCCCAAATTCACACAAACAGGAAATGGTGAGATTGGGACCAAAGGACAGATTGTTTAATTGCAGAGCCTGTAATTGTGCCCTTCATATTACAAAAATTAAATGCTAAATTTTGTCTTTAAATCTTCAGAAGTAATTTTGTGTTCATTCCAAGGAAATGGTTCTGCATTTCATGGGCATTTGCTACTCATTTCCCTCAATAAAACGTGACCATAAAATAATTTTCTTGTTGAAAAACCACAAGGGAGAGGTCAGAATAATGTGATAAATTAAGGTTCCAAATATAGCAGAATACTAATTACAAATAAATTTCCAGTTGTTTATCTATACACATTTAAGATTCACTATGATTTAAAGAACACAATTTTTGGTTTGTTCATAGATGTGGTGACATTTTAAATTGACTTTCTCACTTATAAAAACAGCTCTGAAAATAGGCAAACACAATATTCCAAAATAAATTTTTCAAACTTAAGCCATTACTTATACAGGTGCAAACTCCTTTGAAGATCTTAGGAAAATAAATGTTAGCTATTTTATAGATCTAGAGTTAGCTAAATGGTTAGAAAGGTATCATTTGATGTGAATATATTTTAAATTTCAATGAACTGTGGGCATGCGTCATTCATCTTAAACTAATGTCAAATATCATGATGTGAAACATGGTTTGTCTAACAGACTAAAATCAAAACCTTCTGGGCAGCCCAGGTGGCTCAGCAGTTTAGCGCCGTCAGCCCAGGGTGTGATCCTGGAGACCCATGATCGAGTCCCACGTTGGACTCCCGGCATGGAGCCTGCTTCTCCCTCTGCCTCTCTCTCTCTCTCTCTGTGTCTCTCTCATGAATAAATAAATAAAGTATTAAAAAAATCAAAACCTCCAAGACAATTTTTGAGAAATATTTTCATAAAAGCAAACTGTACATTGGTATTTAGACATATTTATCTTACTCTGAAGTATACCAGATTGGAAAAGAGGCTTTCAAAACAAGAAAGGTCACTTGAATTCAACTGCTTTTCTCTATCATTGTCAGTGGCAGATCATTCATTTAGC